CCTCTCCCGTTGCGGAGCACAGGCTCCGGACGCGCAGGCCCAGCGGCCTTGGCTTACTGGCCCAGCCGCTCCACGGCATGTGGGATATTCCCGGACCGCGGCACGAACCTGTGTGCCCTGCATCGGCAGGAGGACTCTCAACCAGTGCGCCATCAGGGAAGCCCTTGATCTTGCTTTTCTTAAGCAAGCAGACTGCCGTATGTTGGGTCTCCCTCTTGGTTCTCCTTGGGGTAGGAATGAGCTGGGGCCGCATGTGTGGGAGGACAGTTGAAGCTGGCTCAGAAGGTTTGTGCACAAGACAGGCTTTCACAGAATCAGTGTTTTCACTCACCACTAGCCATTCAGCCTTTCAACAGACATTCATGGGGCAGTCGCAGTGTGCCAACCAGGGCTGGGGCTGAGCCTCGGAGGTAAATCCACCTAGGCCCCTGCCCTCAGGTGTGCGGTCAGAGGCCTCTTTCAGAGCCAGAGGCCTGGGTGGGTGCAGTTTCTAGCACCCCCGTGTCCTCTCCCCATGCTCACCTTTAGTCTCTTCTGCCTGTGCCTGTAGGTGCAGCCACCTGACCTCAGGGACCTGCCGGAATGGGAGCCCAGGATACGAGAGGCCTTCCGCAGCGGCGACTTGGACTCCAAGCCTGACCCCAGCCGGAGCTTCAGGCCTTACCAAGCTGAAGACAGTGATTCCTATGCCTCGGAGGTGGGCATAGGCCTGAGCAGGCAGCGGGGAGGGTGGGAGGAGAATGGCTGAGGCCGCTCAAGAGCAGAGTGATCTGTGGAGAATCTTAGCTGGTGATGATACGGGTTTTGAGTATTTCCTTTGGTTCCAAGCTTCCTGACAGCAAGGGCTGAGAGGGAAACAAGGAAGTTTGGGCCATTCTCAGGCCTGATGAAAGGAAGTTTATAAACTTATCCGAGGAAATTGATCTTGTTCTCCTATACTACTGAATTCCACAGGGAAGTTAATAATTTATGTCATTCAATGGAAACACTAATTTGTTTAGCAGGAAGGCAGCAATCTGTACAGTCAAGCTGACTGGGTTCAAATTGTGGATCTATGTATACTAGCTGTAAAATTGTAAAAGTGTCACTTTACTTCTCTGATCCTCAATTTTCTCACCTTTAAAATAAAGGTAATGTGTCATAGGGTTGTTGAAAGGATTAAATACTTGAAAAGCCTTAGCTTAAGGCCTGGTCCATGTTGGGTGAAGAGGAGGATGACACATCACTGGGCCTCAGGAGACCTGCCAGGCTGTGTGGCCTCAGGCATGTTCCCACTCTCTGGCTGCAGATCCTCACCTGTAATATGGGAGGATTAGAGTGGGTGGTGGCTATAGAATTTCCAGGATTCCCTGGTCCTTGAGGAGTTCTGGATGGTTCTGAGCCCCTCCCAAGCCTACTGAGCCTCTCCCCAGCACTTCATAATGAACCTGAAGCAGGAAAATGCTCCTATGGACTGGATGGGGCCTCCCTGAGACTCCTGAACCATGGAGAGTCTCACGTGTGCCCCAACCTGAGTGTCCTTTTCTTCTCAGCATCCCTAGGAAGGCAACTTTTGGTCCCAGGGAGGCCAGTCTGCAACTGTGAAGGGGGAGAAGCTCCCTTGAAGCTGATGGATCAAACTCTTGAAGTGGTCTGAGTGTCCTAGCAGCCATGGCAAAAGAGGAGGGGAGGGGGCAGGAATCATGAGATACTTAGTTCTTATTTTTTGAGAAAAAGAGATAGTCCAGCTCACCTGCAGAGAAAATAATTTCCTACCTGCCCTCAATTATTGTTTCATTCAGCCACTCTTTACTGAGAAGTCACAATTTGCCAGGTACCGTGTTGGGCACTGAGTTTAAGGAAAACACCAGAGATAGATAGTATTGAGCCCTTTAAGGATTTTAAATAAAAAACAGGCATACACAGGACTTCCCTGGTGGTCCAGTGGCTGAGAATCTGCCGTCCAATGCAGGGGACGCGGGTTCAATCCCTGGTCGGGGAACTAAGATCCCACATGCCTTGGGACAACTAAGCCTGCATGCTGCAACTACTGAGCCCTCACGCCACAGCTAGAGAGCCCACGTGCCGCAAGTACTGAGCCCATGTGCTCTGGAGCCCGTGCGCCACAACTAGAGAGAAGCCCGTGCACCGCAACAAAAGATTCTGTGTGCCACAACTAAGACCCGACCAGCCAAATAAATATTAAAAACAAAAACAGGCATACAGGATATACCTCAAGTCAGAGTGCCTTCCATTGCCAAATTTTTACATTATTGGCCAGATAATGAGTGTTTGGTTTTTTCACAGAGGGACATCTTGCCATACCTGGAAACCTTTTATGTAGGTGTTGGAGCTGACATTTCCCTTTTCTTGTTTTCCTGCTTAACATGACAGCATAAAAATTTCCCTTTATTAGTAGAAATACTTTTAGAAATCTTAAGTGAAATATAACATACATGCAGTAAAGCACTCATAAGTGTACAGCTCAAATAATTTTCATAAACTGAACACTACTGTGTAATCAGCAAGCAAATCAATGAACAGAGCATGACCTGGCGCTGGAAGCTTCTCTTCTACTCCCCATCTAGTCACCATCCTGACTTATAACAAAATAGATTTTTTTTGCTTGTTTAGCTACAAATCCTTATAGACCCGATCCCCCCCGCCCCTCCCTGTACCAAAGGTAGAGTTTTATTGTCCTTTTTGTAAGGTTTTATTATATAGTCATTATAAACAACAAATAACTATAATAAAGTCCCTAAGCAGCATTGCATAAGGATATAAAGAAGAAACTCAAGATCACAAGATTATCACATAATTAACCACTGTGAACATTTGGTTTGTGTGTGTCCGTGTCCTTCATGTTTTTCTATTGAGTATATATATTTTTAACTTTTTACTGAAGTATAACATAAAAATATACATACAGTAAAGGGCACTATCTTTTTTTTTTTTTTTTTAATTTAATTTTATCTTTGGTCATGCCACGCGGCTTGCAGAATCTTAGTTCCCCGACTAGGGATCGAACCCTCACCCTCGGCAGTGAAAGTGTGGAGTCCTAACCACTGGACCACCAGAGAATTCCCAAGGGCACTATCCTTAAGTGTGCAGTTGTATGGACTTTAACATAAGTATAGACCCATTAAACACATATGGTTGATCCCCAACTTATCTTAGTTATTTGTAAATTACTGCAATTATAAACGAGACGAACATCTTTGTGAATTAAACTGAGTTTTCATAGTATTTTTTCTACAAATAAATTTCTGCAAGAAATTATCAAGCTAAAATTATAACAATAGCTAGGTTTGATGTGCACTGTTTCACTTCATCGTCATGACAACCCACGGAAGTAGGGACAGGTGCCGTGCCTGGCTTATACTGGAAGGACAGCTTGGGCCTGACTTACTGCAGTTGCTCTCCTACAGTTCTCGTCCTTTGACTGCAGCTTCTGTCCTCCTCCTGCTCTCTCCCTCCTCCTTATCTGTGTCCCTCATCTCGACCCCCAGATCAAGGAGCTGCAGCTCGTGCTGGCCGAAGCACATGACAGCCTCCGGGGCCTACAAGAGCAGCTCTCCCAGGAGCGGCAGCTGCGGAAGGAGGAGGCTGAAAACTTCAACCAGAAAATGGTGCAGGTGGGTGGTGCCCAGTGCTCTCCTGCACCTACTGCAACCTGTCTTCCCTGAACCAAACCTTAGCGGTCCATGGGTCTTCAGAGACAGGAATGTCAGGGGAAACCTGTGTCTTCTTCTCGCCCTGTGCTGCACTGGTGCTTATGCATTAGCTGTGCTGGGCTGGAATCCTGGGCTTGTCGTTGACTGTCTGTGTGACCTCAGGTCCATTCTGTCTCCTCTCTGTGCTTCAGTTTCCCATCTATGAAATATTGCCCCGTCAGAGTTGAAAATCTGTATTAGAAAGGCCGTAGGCCTGGCTGGCAATCAAGATGGTAGCTCTGCTAGTAGAAAGCATTTATTAAGCCTTTACTCTATGTCAGGACACTTGCCACACATCATGTCCTTTAATCCTCATGTTTTCCCCTGTGAAGCGTGTCCCCATTTTACAGGTGGGGAAACTGATGCCCAGAGTGCTGAAGTGCTTTGCCCAGGGTTGCACTTGCAGGGCAAGGTGGGGCTGGGATTCTTTTTTTTGTTTGTTTTAAATTTTTTTTTATTATTTATTTTATTTCTTTGGCTGCGCTGGGTCTTAGTTGCAACACGCAATATCTTCATTGCGGCATGCAGGATCTTTAGTTGCGGCATGCAAACTCTTAGTTGTGGCATGCGTGCGGGGTCTAGTTCCCTGACCAGGGATCGAACCTGGGGCCCCCTGCATTGGGAGCGTGGAGTCTTACCCACTGGACCACCAGGGAAGTCCCTGGGGCTGGGATTCTAATCCAGGTTTTTGGCTCCCTCTGAGCCATTACCCCGCGTTGCTTACTAGGGTATTAATGCTGTCAGCCTTCCTCACCCCGAGAATGCCCTTTGCTCTGCATGTGGGTCACCCCTCCCTGCCATCACTGCTCACCCTCCCAGGTGCCTCAATGAATGCGAGAGTTCATGTGAAACATTGGTTCCTGGTATGGGCTCATTAGGTGATGTCATGGTTTTTATAATCAGATAGAGCCGGATTCAGATCCCAGCTCTTTCACTGATTATTACTGTGATTGCTGCTGTTTTTATGAGTCTCCCTCCCCTGGAGTAGCAGAGGGAACTGTTTATTTCAACACAATGAACTGCTAGCGGTGGAATCCCTGTCGGGGGTCACCACCCGGCACCACCTGAAATTTCCTCTCGGCCCTTGTGTGAGGCCTGGAACGGGGTGAGTTAGGGTCCCCGAGACAGCTGGGGTAGCTCACCCTCTTGTCCCCCCCTTGCAGCTGAAGGAGGACCAGCAGAGGGCACTCCTGCGGCGGGAGTTTGAGCTGCAGAGTCTGAGCCTGCAGCGGAGGCTGGAGCAGAAATTCTGGAGCCAGGAGAAGAACCTGTTGGTTCAGGAGTCCCAGCAGTTCAAGCACAACTTCCTCCTGCTCTTCATGAAGCTCAGGTGGTTCCTCAAGCGCTGGCGGCAGGGCAAGGTTTTGCCCAGCGAGGGAGATGACTTCCTTGAGGTATGGTTCCCCTGGGACTGGGACTGGGGTGGGTGGGGTGGGGTAGAGGAGAGAGGACAGGAGGGACATAGCCCTGGGGCTCAGATACGAAGCATCGGCTTGCAGCTTCCATCCTTGCATTCATTCATTCATTCATTCCTTCAGCATCAGTTTGTTGAGAACCAGCTCTTTACTGAGTGCTGTGGCAGATGCCGGGGAGACCGTGGTGAAGACGACAGACTCTGTCCCGGCCTTGCCAGGGGGCCAGTAGGTCTTTCACACTTCTCTGGTATTTGTGGGTTTCCCTTTTTAACAAACCTGAGTCTTGAGCTGGCAATAGGATATAGATGCGTTTAATGATCTGGTTTCGTTGTTTTTGCATTATATGCAAATATAGTACATATCAATGTTTTTTACTCTTTTAAGGTACAATTTATATACAGTAAGGTGCACACATCTTAAGTGTACAGCTGATGAAGTTTTATAGTATACACCCTGCAGATACATAGTATAGCATCACCCAGATCACAATGAGCACCTTTCCAGTGCTCCAGAAGGTTCCCGGGTGCCACAGGTGACATGCCCACCCCAGCAGTCAGCACTGTTCTGACTTCTTTTTTTTTTTTTTTTTTTGCGGTATGCGGGCCTCTCACTATTGTGGCCTCTCCCGTTGCGGAGCACAGGCTCCGGACGTGCAGGCTCAGCGGCCATGGCTCACGGGCCCAGCTGCTCCACAGCGTGTGGGATCTTCCCGGACCGGGGCACGAACCTGCGTCCCCTGCATCGGCAGGCGGACTCTCAACCACTGTGCCACCAGGAAAGCCCTGTTCTGACTTCTTACACCATGGATTAATCTTGCCTATTCTAGAACTTCATACAAGTGTGTGTAGTCTTTTGTGTCTGGCTTTTGCTTAATATAATTCTTTGAGATTCATCCACATTTTACCTATAAAAGTAGTTGATTCTTTATTGCTGCTTATTTTTCACTTATGAATATATCTATTTTATTTTTAACGTTACCTTTGACAATGATAATGGACACTGGCTTTCCATTTTTAGTAATATCAACTCCCTTTTTTAGATATGTTTATTTAACTAGAAGGAGTAGGTTGACTTAAAAGCATTACTGATAGTACAGGTAGTATATGGGTGTGGCAGGAAACATGACGAGTGGAGCTTTGGGAAGGTGTGAAGCTTGGGAAGGACTCACGTGGCCCATTTGTCCCTCAGCCTGTTCAGGACCCTTTGTCCTCACATCCCCTTCCTCCTGTCACGATCAGCACGCTGACATTGCTAGGAGAAGGGGGCATGTAAGGACATCATACCTCAGTCACACCCACCTGAGTTGGCACAGCTCACCTTGGCCTTTTAGGTACAGGTACCTCTGCCCTAGCCCAGGCTTGGCCCTTCTCCGGTTCAAGCTACTCATTCCAGAGCCAATGGGGACCAGTGGCAGTCCCCATGTACCCCTCTCAGGGGTCCGCCAGAGTAGCCTGAATGTCCGAGGAGCAGGGGATGGTGGTTAGACCTGAATCTGTAGCAGGAGTTTCCTCCCCTACCCCCAGTGGGGCTCATAGGCCACCCGCCGCCTCCCCAAGGGCCTCTAGAGAGAGTTGCTGACCATCTTTACTTTTTTTTTTTTTTTTTTTTTTTTTTTGTTTAAGTTCTACAATCTTAGCAAATTTCAAGTATACACTACAGTGCTGTCAACTATAGTCACCATGTTTTACATTGAATCCTCACACCTTATTTATATTATAGCTGAAAGTTTGTATCCTTTTACCAATCTCTCCTTATTTCCCCCACCCTCCCAGCTCTTGGCAACCACTTTTCTGCTCTGTTTCTGTGAGTTTGACTTTTTTGTTTGTTTGTTTTTAGATTCTACATGTAAATAAGATCACACAGTGTTTGTCTCTCTCTGTCTGGCTTATTTCACTTAGCATAATGCCCTCAAGTTCCATCCATCTTGTCTCAAATGGCAGGATTTCCTCTTTTCTGATGGCTGAATAATATTCCATTGTATATATACCACATGTTCTTGATCCATTCATTTATTCATTAATGGACACTTAGGTCGTTTCCATATGTTGGCTGTTTTGAATAATGCTGCAGTGAACATGGGAATATAGTATCTCTTTGGTATCCTGTTTTCCTTTCCTTTGGGTATATACCCAGAAGTGGGATTGCTGAGAACTTTCCATTTATCAGAGAACCCATAAGCTGTTTTTTTTTTTTTTTTTTTTTTTTTTTTGTAAGACGGCCCT